CATGCATTTGGCCGCCAGGGCAGCCCCAGGCTCTGTCAGCTGGATGCCTTCTGCTCTCCCCGCCACCCGCGGGGCGGATGGTTCCCATGGCTGCATCTGCCTGACTCAGGGATCAAGGCCCACTTTTCCCTGAAATCATCTCCCCGGGGCCTTTTGAGCGCTCCCACCCCAGTTACCCCATTCTCAGGGGAAGGGGATCGGGGACGAGGCTGCTGTGCCTGGGTCCCAGGGTCACCATGGCCTTTGCAATTTGCCTGCTCTCCTAGGGCCGCTGGGCGTTTGCAGTTGCCTGCTCCCCCAGGGCCTGGCTGTACGTTCGCTCTCACGGCAGTACCCCCAGCCCCTGAGGAAGATGCCTTTGGGGAACAAGCAAGGGTCTGGAAGGCCCCACTTGTCAGCTTTGCGCTGAGCCTGTTTTCATATCTCTGTGGGCTCTTGCAAACATCACTTCTTCCATCTGTCCACAGTGATTCTCTTCCTCGCTGTCTTTGCAGCCACACTGTCCCCTCCTTGTGGGTGGAGGATGAGTGGAGAGCACAGAATCCAGTTGTGGAGGCTCGTGGCAGCTGGATGAGTGGCTCACTGTGGAGGCTCGTGGCAGCTGGATGAGTGGCTCACTGTGGAGGCTCGTGGCAGCTGGATGAGTGGCTCACTGGAGGCTCGTGGCTGTGGGATGAGTGGGTCACTGTGGAGGCTCATGGCTGTGGGATGAGTGGCTCACTGTAGAGGCTAGTGGCTGTGGGATGAATGGGTCACTCGGTCATTTGTCCAGCCCGGCGCCTGGAGCTTGATATTGAAGCAGGGATCGGGTCCAAGTCTAGGGTTCGTGGGAGAGAAGGCTGAGAGGAGCCCGTCTTGTGTCGCCTTCTTGCACGGCGTCTTGGCCTGGCATGGTTGCCGCCGTGGGCCCTCTGTTGGGGGTGAGGACATTCTGTGCATTTCAGGAAATCCAGCAGCATCCCCAGCCTCCACCACTCCATGCCAGTGGCACCCCACCCCGCCATCGAGACAACCCCACATCTCTCAGCGTGCAGAATGTCCCCTGGTCACACTGAGGAAGTGCAGGGGCACTGCCCCCAGGGTTTGAACACCGAATCCCAACTCCACCTCCTCCCAGGAAGGTGCGTCTCTCCCCTGCGTGTAGCCGGGAGCCTGGCACAGCAGCTAGTGCTGTCAGCAGATGAGTGTGGTGGCCTGTCTGCGTCCAGCTGCCCTGGGCTGCAGGCAGGTCCCTCCTGCCACCCTCCAGGCCACTCTAGAGCAGAGCTGCTATCAGAGCAGGACCGCAGGAGGCAGGGAGAGCCCCAGGGTGTCACCCCCAAGCCTGATCAGGCTGTGTCAGCCCTGGCTCCAGGGACAGCTCTGGAGGATCCAGGCTGAGTCGCCGCTGTGGGCCAGTAGACCTGGTACCCACTTCGTAGCACCCGTGGAGAGAGGGGTGGCCTCTGGTCAGGCGTCCAAGAAAGCCACCTCAGTCCCGAGCCACCATCTGGCAGAGTCCAGGGCTGGCAAACCCCACAGCTCTGCTATGAGGCCAGATCCCCACATGCACCCCACGCCCTGTCCCTGGTCATTGCGGGAGATGCCCTGTGTCCATGGTAGGCAGGCAGCTTAGAGGTGCTTGGGGTGGTTTGATTGGAGTCCCAAAAAGCTGAACCCCTGCCTCCCTGCCATCGCCCATGCGGGGTGAGGAGTGGGTCGCACCCAAAGCTGTGAGGTTGGGGGATGCCATCCCTCTGTGCACATCCACTGTCCTCCAGGACCTTAGGCACTCAGCAGAGAGAGGCCCTGGACAGCCTCCAGTCCAGAAGGTCCCAGCAGGACAGCCCTGGCCACACTGTGCTAAGAATGGAAGCCACACGGGCGGCTGGAGAGGGGGCTGGCCGAGCCTTCCCTGCTGGAGCGTCTCGTCCGGGCTGGAGTGTAATGGCAGGATCTCACTGCAACCTCCGTCTCTCGGGCTCAGGTCATCCTCCCACCTCAGCCTCCAAATAGCTGAGACTATGGGCATGCACCACCTTTCATGTCTAGTTTTTGTATTTTTTGTAGAAACAGGGTTTGGCCACGTTTCCCAGGCTGGTCTCAGTCTCCCAAAGTACCAGATCTACAGATGTGAGGCACTATGCCTGGCCAGAGGGATTTTTTTTTTGTTTGTTTGTTTTTGAGATGGAGTCCCGTTCTGTCACCCAGGCTGGAGTGCAATTGCACACTCTCAGCTCACTGCAACCTCCACCTCCCGGGTTCAAGCGATTCCCTTTTCTCAGCCTCCCAAGTGCCTGGGATTATAGGTGTGCGCCACGATGCCCGGCTAATTTTTGTATTTTTCAAGAAGAGATGGGATTTCACCATGTTGGTCAGGCTGGTCTCGAACCCCTGACATCGTGATCTGCCTGCCTCAGCCTCCCAAAGTGCTGGGATTACAGGCGTGAGCCACTGTGCCCGGCTCTTTTTGTTTTCCTTTAGACGGAGTTTCGCTCTTGTTGCCCAGGCTGGAGTGCAATGGCACGAGTCTGTGCTTGGTCAGAGCAGCTGGTACTGATTTTCTTGGAAGTTTCAGAGGCTGCAGCATGGAGCTGTGCACCCCAGGGAATGCCGTCGTGGGACAGGTGCTCCGTCCCCAGTGCTGGGGTCCTAGAGACGGCTGTGACCACAGAGTGGAAGTTATCCGGGCCTGGCCGGTCACGGTGCTCACAGCTGCAACCCCAGCACTTTGGGAGGCCGAGGCGGGTGGATCACTTCAGGCCAGGAGTTCGAGACCAGCCTGGGCAACATGGTGAAACCCCATCTCTACTGAAAATACAAAAATTAGCTGTGTGTGGGGGAACCCTGTCTCAAAAAAAAAAAAAGTGACCCAGGCCTTGGGGCTGCAGATGTCTGACTCCTGCCTGAAGACCTCACTATGTGAAGCCTCAGTGTATTGTTCTTAGCAAAAGCAGCCGCCCTGTGTGGTAACCAGCCACCTCTCCTGTCATGAGGCTGGAGGTCAGTTATGAGTATTGATATGTGTGGTGGGGACTGTGCTCTGAGACCTCCTTTCCATCAGCCCAGGCTGGGTCTGGGGGCGTCACAGTGAACGGGGCACGTTTCTGGCTTCCAGCAATCACCTTCACCCCCTCCCACGGTGAGTGCCAGGTAGGGGTGGCAGGACCTGGATTCTCAAGCGACCTGGCAGGGCCTTATGTGCCTGTCTCCCCACATGCAGGGCAGATGCCCCCTACACACACACAGCAGAAGTAAGTGGGCAGGATACAGTGGGGCTCTGCAGATGTGAAAGGTTTGCACATTCCAGAACATTCTGTCAGAGAGCAGATGGGAGGGAGGCCAGAGGGGCTGTGGGCGTCTTGGCCGAGGTGCTGTGGAAAATGCCCTGTCCTGAGCCGCTCCAGGCCTGCAAGGTCAAGCCCTGCCTGCTGACCACCCTGTGACCAGGACCCGGAACACGTCACATGCGGGCGGTGGCCCTGGAGCTCATTCTTCTCGGGAGATCAAGGCCTCAGCTGGGTGGGGTGGCGGCCAGGCCTCGGTGAACCCACCAGCATCCCCAGCTCAGGCAGAAGATCAAAGGCCTGGGCTGGGCGCACCTGGCGTCTGGGACAGACAGAGCTGGGGGCAGAGCCACAGGCATCCCGCCCGCCGTGGGGAAGCAGGCGCCACAGGAACCAGGTCCGCCCATCGGGAAGGGACCCCACGTGGGCTCTGCCGTAGGAAATCCGGTGCCGCCTTTGAAGTGCACTTCCTGTGGGGTCAATGCCAAGGTTTTATGGGACCCTCTCTTTGGTTCCCCTTTGAAACGTCCTCACCTCCTTGCTCTGCAGCATTCCCTGGGCAACCGAGGCTGCTCTCCTTCTTGGGCCTGCATAGTGACCTGTGGTCAAGGCCACATGGTGGGACACAGCAGCCCTGGGGCCTGCCCCTGCCTGGACAGTTCACCACCTGTGCCTCAGGCTCTGTACACACCTGGTGGGTGGGCGGGGGTGACCCAGCTCCTCTGTCCCAGAGGTGTCTTTGGTCTCATTACCAAGTTGTTCCTGAGCGCGGCCGTCTGTCAGGCAGGTGTCTGAGCCACCGTCAGAGCCCTGCAAGCCAGGAACGAAAACCCCACGGGGCGAGTGACCTGCGGCCAGGCGATGTATTCTGGGCCCATTTCGCAGTGGAGGTGACAGCCACAGAGAGGTCCAGAGCTGTCCGAGCAGCCAGGTGACCTTCCAGAGACACCCCTTTTGTGGTGTTTACTTCCTGGCCCCCCAAAGACACATCTTCCTGGGGAACCCATGAATGCTGGTGGCCTTATTTGGAAAAAGGGTCTTTGTAGATGTGACTGAGGTTCAAGTTTTGCAATGAGGTCTTCCTGGAATAGGGTGGAGCGGTCATGAAGCCCAGTGACATGTGTCCTCAGAGGGCAAAGGAGAGAGCACTGCCTACGGGAGCACAGGGCTCGTCCTCAGACCCAGCAGGCCGCACGCTCACCGCAGTCCAGGATGGACCTGTGTTCCCCAGGCCTTTCCTGCTAGCCCAGGGGGAGAGGGTCTGTTCCAAGCTCCTCACAGCTGGAGAAGCAGGGGCCTGGTGCCTCTGGGCCTTCCTTGGTGCCACAGCCAGGATGCAAACCCAGGTCCCCTGCCTTCATACCGCCTTGACACTCATGTCATGAGGTCTCAGGGAACGTTCTTGAAGTCAGCTGGGGCTGTTTGACCCCTCCCTCCTACCCTCCTGTAGACGAGCATCTGAAAGGCCCTCCTGGGCAGCGGTCAGAGCTGCCTGTCCTCTCAGGTGGGCTCAGGGCCTCCGGTGGGTCCCCTTCCTCTGGTTATAGTGGGAACCCCACAGCCTCCAGGTGGCTCAGCAGGTGCATTCCATTTGTTGGTCGCAGTGAAGACCCTTCACCCCAGCATTTTTGTTTGCTGTGGTATTTTGCTCCAGGAATATTCTCGAACTGGTAGCATGAGCTGCATGGCGCTCTCTAACCCAGCATTCCTTTCTCTCTGTTTGGCCTCTGCCAGGTGATGTGTCCAATCTAGATCCCAAGTTCTCATTTGAAGGCACCAAATTGGATGTGGGGAACATTGTGCTGGCTCTATACAGCGGCCTCTTTGCCTACGGAGGATGGTAGGTTCTGGAATGTCTAGGTCCCTTGGTCTGGGGATACAAGGGACCTTGGTCCCTGATGGGTCCAGGAATCCCAAACCTCCTGGCCATGTAGGAGTGGTTAAAGGGAGTGGACGGTACAGAGTGGCAGGTGACCCTCCAGATCACCCGCGTTCCTAGGAAGTATGGGGAGACTGCCTGCTGCAGCCCTGCCCTGGCTCCACTTCTGCATCTCGGCCACGGCAGAGGCAGCACGTGGAGGCAGCTGAGCCCTGCAGGCCCTCTCCTCCAGGTCCGCAGCCCAGCTCCTGCGCTCAGGCGGGCCTCACCAGGACTTGAGAATCACCCCTGTGGGCGAGCGGGCAGGGAGCATGCAGGAGGCCTGGAAAGGGTGGCAGGGACCCCCGAAGCAGACAGGAGGCTGAGCTCCCGCTCCAGGTCCACTTTCCAGCCCAGCGAGCAGCCCGCCGGGGGCGGGGGTCTCATCAGCCGGCCTGGGATGCTCTCTCCCCAGTGATTTCTTTTCTGTAATGATGATCATACAATTAAATACTGTTCTCTAAATTTTAGGAATTACTTGAACTTTGTCACAGAGGAAATGATCAACCCCTATAGGTACGTGCAAGAATGGATGGAGTTGTGCTTTTTTGTTTTTGTTTTTTTTAATTAATAGACGATTTATTTAGACAGGAATACGTATGTCATCATTGCCAGACTTGATGTGAGAGGTTAAGTGTCTGGTCCAATATTCCTTCCTAGATACGTTCTTCTTTCCCATCCCTGTCAGTTTAGAAAACGTGATACCAGAAGAGGAGGGGCCCAAATCCACACAGAGCTCCCAAGCGTGGGTTCAGGAGTGGGTCTGCAGTGAGGACAGACATTGTTGGTCTTGCTTCGGTCCCACGAATCCAGGCAGGGTCTTCAAGGCCGCCTCGGCAGTTGGGGTCGTCGTACTGAAGCAGGGGCTCTCAGTTTAGCCTGGCTCTTGTTTTGAGATGGAGTCTTGCCCTGTCACCCAGGCTGCAGTGCAGTGGCGCAGCCTCGACTCACTGTAACCTCCGCCTCCTGCATTCAAGCGGTTCTTCTGCCTCAGCCTCCTCAGTAGCAGGGACTACAGGCGCACACTACCACTCCTGGCTAATTTTTGTATTTTTAGTAGAGATGGTGTTTCACTGTATTGGCCAGGCTGCTCTCGAACTTCAGACCTCGTGAGCCACCATGCCCGGCCTCAGCCCGTTCTTAAGGCCAACTGGTGCCCGCCGCATTGGAGATGTCATTTTGGCTGGGTCGGGGGTAGGGGCAGAGAGTCCAGGTGCAACAGAGTGTGTTTTGAGAATGATATCTTGGAGACCAAGGGCACAATGGCTGTGAGTCGTCTTTTTTCATTATTTGAATGTGAGACAGGGCAGCCACATTCCACTGGAAGCCTGTTGGTCAGCTCTGGCCTGCTCACAGGAGAGCTGTGATTGGGGCCTGGGGAGCCAGCAGGATGTAGGGGTGGTGGCAAGGTTTCCTCAGAGAACAGGTGGCAGCTGAGGCCCCCACTCAGGGCAGGACGGTCCACAGGAGCTGCTCGGGCTCTGGGTTCTGGCCCCTGGCTTGGCAGCTTGTGAGCAGAGCGTTAGGATTCAGACCTGGCAGCCTAATGTAGCTCTACCAGCCCTTGTAGTCACCCAGAAGAATCCCCATTTCTCAGGTGGGGAAGCTGAGGCCCGCGGCAAGGGCACCAGCCCGGCCTCTGCAAGTCTCCCCTCCAGGCCCAGCCTCCTGCCCAGCCCGTGCTCTCTCGGTGCTTCCCACCTTCCTCAAGAAGCCAGGCACAGAGGCCGGAGCTGCCGGTGGTGGGGAGCCCGCCTGGCTCCTGGCCACGGGGTTTGGCCTTCAGCCCAGGCTGCGCTGAGTGACGTGTCGCCCCTGTTCCTTCCAGAAACCTGCCCCTGGCCATCATTATCTCCCTTCCCATCGTGACGCTGGTGTACGTGCTGACCAACCTGGCCTACTTCACCACCCTGTCCACCGAGCAGATGCTGTCATCGGAGGCCGTGGCTGTGGTGAGCCGCTACCCGCCAGCTTCCACCAGGGCCCTGAGAGGCCTGCAGACCAGAGGGGTGCCCCGTACCTCCAAGCCTCCCCTACCTGGAGGGCTGGCGTGGTGGTCATGGGTCTCCTCTCATGACGACAACAGAGGGAATGTCTGGGGATCGTCCTTGTTGCAGGGGAGAGGGGGTTTAAAATCTGATTCCAGGCCACACCTGGAACCAGCTATACGCCAGCAGGCCTAGGGGACTCAGGGCAGCGGTCATTTTAAATCTGAGTATTGGAAAGTTGGCATCTGCTGCAGACGGGTTTGCTGGAAGGCATGGCTGCTGCCGGCTCGGCAGGACGGAGGCCAGGCCTGGGCACTGTTGTTGCGCAGCTTCTGAGGCTCCGCCCACTGCCCTCCCGGCCCGGGGGAACGGGGAGAGGGAGCTCTGGCCAGATTCCTACTCAACAAGCTCTGACTCCCAGCCCGCCGCCCACTGGGCACCATGCTGGGCCTCCGAAGGGCCCCAGATGGGGAGGGCAGAATCCCCACATGGAGGCCACAGCTTCCTACTGAACAAACTCTGACTCCCAGCGCACCACCCACCGGGCACCATGCTGGGCCTCTGAAGGACCCCAGATGGGGAGGGCAGAATCCCCACATGGAGGCCACAGCTTGCTTCAGGAAGTTCCAGGGGAGTGGGGAGATCGGGGCCCTCAAGGGCTCTCCTACAAGCAGGCCGAGCAGAGGGAAGTCCCCCAGAGGCCAGAATCCAGCCCGAGAGGTTCTCCTCTGCAGCGGGCTCTTGGCGAGGGCGGGAGGGGCCAAGGGCCCGCCCTGCGGGGCTCAGCTCACTCTGTGTCTGCCTAGGACTTCGGAAACTATCACCTGGGTGTCATGTCCTGGATCATCCCCGTCTTCGTGGGCCTGTCCTGCTTCGGCTCAGTCAATGGGTCCCTGTTCACCTCCTCCAGGTGAGCTCAGCCCGACCCCCTACAGGTCAGGCAGGCCCAGGCCTCAGGGCCAGGTTCAGCATGCTCTGTGTCTGTGAAAGGTTTGCCTCTCAAACGGGATGCATCTTTGTTAAAGCTCAAATAGGCCAGGCGCAGTGGCTCACGCCTGTCATCTCGGCACTTTGGGAGGCCCAGGTGGACGGATTGCTTGAGCTGAAGTGTTTGAGACCAGCCTGAGCAACATGGCAAAACCTCGTCTCTACAAAAATACGCAAAAATTAGCCAGGCGTGGTGGCACATGCCCATAGTCCCAGCTACCTGGGGGATTGAGGTGGGGGGATTGCTTGAGCCTGGAAAGTCAGGGCTGCAGTGAGCCGAGATGGTGCCTCTGCACTCCAGCCTGGGTGACAGAGTGAGATCCTATCTCAAAAAAAAAAAAACAAAGGAAGCATGAACTTTGCCCCTCGCCTCCCACGCCTGCTGAGAGGCCAGCTGTGGTGTCCTAGGTGCCCCATGGCCACCTCTTGACCCCCTGGGGCTGGAGTTTCTGTCCTTGCCAGCCGAGTTGGTTGGGGACGCTGGTCGAGTTGGTTGGGGTTGCAGAGAGGCCCACAGCCAGAAGCCACAGGGTCCTGTTCCCCACTCTGGTGAGAGGCACAGACAAGCCAGACACAGGCCCCGTCCACTCCCAGCCTGCCATGTCCCCGTCTGTCCTGGGTTGTGAGGTGATGGCTGACTGCCTCTCCGGTCTGTCCACAGGCTCTTCTTTGTAGGGTCTCGGGAAGGCCACCTACCCTCCATCCTCTCCATGATCCACCCGCAGCTCCTCACCCCCATGCCGTCCCTTGTGTTCACGGTAAGCTTGCCACACAGCCCCACGCCTGCTCCCTGGGGGTTGTCCGGGGGCTCCCCAGAGGAAGGCCGCCACAGCTTGCAACTTTGTCCGGGGTGTGGACTGGGTGGCAGCTCACATGTGGCCTGGAGACGCAGCGGAACGTGAGCTCCACTGAATGCCAGAGAGTGCTGAAGGGGCTTTAGGTTTTATCCCAAAATAGCATATGGTGGCTTCCACAAGCAGTTCACACCGACAGAAATGTGGGAGAAGAAAGCTCCACCCCAGCTGGGCTGCTCACTCCACCTCTGCCCCCACAGGCACCACTCAGTGTTGGTTTCTTCAGCGGGGTGCATCACGTACTGTTCTTCCGCTTCTCCTGCGTCTTTCTGTGCTGGCCCATGGGATTGCCCTAGTTCCCTGTTGCTGTGTCACAAATCACTCAAAAGCGTCATGGTCTAAAAGGAAAAGCGCTTATTATCTCACAGTTCCCATAAGTCAAGAATTCAGGGAGCTGCTTCCTGGGGCTATAGTCTCATCCGAGGGTGTGACCAGGGCCGGAGAGGCCACTGACAGCTGCTTCTCCCAAAGCCAGTGAGAGCAGCAGAGGCAGAGGAAGCTGCGGCTCCTCCTATGGGCTGGCCCCCTGTGGGCTGGCCTCCTGTGGGCTGGCCTCGGTCCCAGCCCTTGCTCCTCCTCTGTGTTAGAAGCGAGTTGGGAAGTGCCTTCCCGTGTGCCTGGGGAGCTGGAGGGAGAGCAGCCCACACTTCTGGGCTCCCTGGAGCGTCCATGAGGACCATGTTTTGACAGCTGTACTGGGGGCTACGGAAACTGTCCCCTTGATGGACACTGGGTTAGGTCAGGTTGTGGTCCTCACGGAGCCGCAGTCCAGGGTCCCAGCTGCAAACGCACACTGTGCTCTTCACCTGTCCTTGAAACCCAGAGGTGGTCTCCTTTTCTTCCACTCCCTCCGGCCTCCTCCCCTCCCGCCTCCCCCTCCCTCCTCTTTTCCCTTCCTCCTTCCGTCCCTCCTCCCTCTTCCCTCTTCCTCTTCCTCTTCCCCCTCTCTCCTCTCCTCCCTCTTCCCTCCCTCCCTCCCTCCTTCCCTCCTTCAAGACCTCCTGCTCAGATGAGGTTTCTCCTTTAAAACAAAATTCCTGCAAGTGTGCTAATCTGGGCACAGCCTGGCTAGACAGTCCCCAGTGGCCACCGTCGCCTCCCTGGCTGGGTTGTGGGCCTGGGCTCAGCCGGCCGCCTCTCTCTTGCAGTGCGTGATGACGCTGCTCTACGCCTTCTCCAAGGACATCTTCTCTGTCATCAACTTCTTCAGCTTCTTCAACTGGCTCTGCGTGGCCCTGGCCATCATCGGCATGATCTGGCTGCGCTACAGAAAGCCCGAACTGGAGCGGCCCATCAAGGTGAGCCCAGGCCCCACTCACCCAGCTGCCCTCACGGGCAGGGTCCCAGGGTTTGAGGACCCGAGGTCGGGAGCCGGCAGCCCGGCTCAGCCTCTGGACCTGCACCTGCCTGCGTGCACCTGGGCCAGGCCACGTCCCCGTCAAGCTAAACCAGGGCTTACTTTGCAGGGGGTCCTGGTGGGAGGGGGGCGAGGCCGTGTGGTGGGAGGGGCATGAGGCTGTCTGCCCATGCTTCTCTAGCAGACACGGGGGTCACCTAATTCCGGTACTGGGGTTCCTCAAAGGACAGCAGATGGACAGAGCTCCCCTGAATGAAGGGAAGCAGATAAGGACATCACGTGAACTCGCAGGGCCTGGCGCAGCATTCACAGGGTGGTCGGTTGTGCTGGGGGATGGAAATGCAAGGCGTGGGACGCCTGGCCCTAGGAACTCCAGGGCCCAGCTGGGCTCTCCCTGTCCCCAGCAGCTCCTTGCAGGGGGCAGCTGTTGTCACTGAGCTGCTTTCTTCAAAACGGGGCTGTCCCTTGGAGGCCATGCTCCCGCCCAGGGCCCAGCAAGCCCCGCCACCCTGGCCCTGACACAGGACAAGAGCACAGAGCCCCTGGTGGCTGCTGGCCAGCAGCTCTTGTCACTCAGCTGGCATATGTCTGTCACGGGAGCCCCGCTCCCCTGCTGGGGCCATCTCGCCCCCTGTGTTCCTGAAGTCTGGGGCCCAGTGGGAGGCCTGTGAACGCTGTTTAACAAGGGCTTTAAAATATGGTCAGTACAAGAACCCAGATGCAGCTCGGAGAGAAGACTGTGTAGGGCGAGGAGGGAGCCGCCCATCCTGGGCACCAGCTTGTGCTTGCCATGCCAGCTTGGCCACAGGGGCTTGGAGCAGGAGTCAGCAGAAGGCCCAGCCCGGCCAAGGAGAGGTGGCACAAGGCAGTCACTGGCCATGGCAGCGACTCTGCTCCCATGGAGACCCGGGCACAGGATAGGCTCTGCCCACTGTGAGCCTGGGCACAGGGTGGACATCTGTTCCCTGGGGACAGGGCAGCCATGCAGCCTGCACTGATGGAACCCGTGGTCAGCTCTGCGTCTCCCAGGGTGGCCTGTTAGAGTATGCATTCGGGACAGCTGAGTCCCACAGCCATGCGCAGCAGCGGGTCATGGGCTAGGCCTGCAGGCTCCTCGAAGCCCTGCCTGGGTTCTGTGCTGGGTGGAGTTCATCTGCCCAAGGTGACGGCATAGGCTGCAGCTTCAGGGATGAGCTTTTGCTCAGCCCTGTCCACACCAGGGTCTCCAAGAGGGCAGTCTCCTGGCTTCTTCGTGGGTGGCCGCTGTCTTCCAGAAGCGTCAGGCCCCTGCACTGCACCTCCTGACGGCTCAGGGTTTCCAGGCCTGTGGTATGGGAGTGGAACCGTGACCGTGCCTGCTCATGATGCCTCCGGAGACAGAGCCGGTTCCTTCCATCCCCAGCAGCAGCCACCTGAGCCTTGGGCAACAGGCCTAGCACTGTGCAGAGGTCCACGGAGGGGCAGGTGACACTGTGTGTGAGGCAGACGGGGTGCAGGCCACATTCCGGTGGCCTGGAAGTCAGCAGCGAGTGGGTGTGGAAGGCCCAGGAGGGCTGAAGAACCTCGGGGCTGGGGGAGGGAGGCTGGACAGGAGGGGGCTCCAGCATAGCCGCAGAGCTCACCCATATTCTGTCCTCTGCCGCAGGTGAACCTGGCCCTGCCCGTGTTCTTCATCCTGGCCTGCCTCTTCCTGATTGCCGTCTCCTTCTGGAAGACCCCTGTGGAGTGTGGCATCGGCTTCACCATCATCCTCAGCGGGCTGCCCGTCTACTTCTTAGGGGTCTGGTGGAAAAACAAGCCCAAGTGGCTTCTCCAGGGCATCTGTGAGTGTCTCGCTGGCCCGTAGCTTGTGGTACCCTCTGCCTGGGGCATCGAGGGGGTTGAGAGGCGTCGGCCGTCTCCACCCACATGGTCCAAGTGTGTTGGGTGGCAGGAGGCTTCTGCCAGTGACTCACGGCCCACGTGTTTCAGGGATAAGACACTCAGTGCAGCAGCAGCTAATCTCTTAGGGCGAGGGACTCCAGAAATTAGGCTACTGCAGTCAGGTAACAAAATCCTACCAGCTGCCACAGCAGACTTACCCAGCAAGGCAGAGGCAGGCCGGGCGTGGTGGCTCACACCTGTAGTCCCAGCGCTCTGGGAGGCTGAGGCAGGCGGATCCCTTGAGGTCAGGAGTTTGAGACCAGGCTGGCCAACATGGTGAAACCCCATCTCTACTAAAAACAAATAAATGAGCTGGGCATAGGGCCACCTGTAATCCAATCTACTCCGGAGGCTGAGGCAGGAGAATTGCTTGAACCCGGGAGCTTGAGGTTGCGGTG